CCGTAAAAAATACTATTACTAGCCCTTGTAAAATTGTAAAAGCCCTGCGACCCCCGCGCGATGCCTTGGCCATATCCAGGCATGGGGGGTTCCATTGAACGTGGCAATCAATTTGCCGCAAGGGGCCCATGGCCGAAGCAGTCATCCGTGAAGCAGGGGTTGCCGGCAGGATGTCCTGAAGTAGGACCGAGCGGCTTACAACTACTGATGTTCTTGGCGCTAGTTGGATTCTCTGTTTTCTTCTATAACCGCTTGTGCTACAGCTGCAATCATTACGAGTTAAGGTTACGAGGTTACGGGGTTACAAGGAACTAGCAGCTTGCATCGGAAATAGTAGCCCCAGTCCTAGAGTTTGGGGGACTATGATGTAGACGCATATGTAGCTGGAAAAAACGACCTGATGTAGTGACCATGTCATTATGTCATCATACACTAAGGATTACGGACTCTAACAGGCCTTGCTTAGGGGACTACGTCTGAATATGTCTACACGTGCAGTTGAGACCAAGCGGCAGGAGCACGCTTGACTACCTCGGCCCGAGCTTGTTGTAGTTCCAACTGTTGGCGCCTGACCTCTGCCTGCCGGTCTGCCTGATGTTTCCTGAACTTGCTTCGGATGTCTCGAATGTCGACCGTGAAATCACGACAGGCCACCAGCTGCAGCTCAGCCGGTCGTGACGCATCCGGAAGTACCAGACGCCCATCAGGCATTTCCGTTCCCAAGGCCTCAATTGAAGGCTGCTTCTGTTGCCGCTGTCGAGGTCCAAAGCTTGCGTACCCATGACGCCACGCCAAGTTACCTGCAACACCAAGCCCCTGAAAGTAACTCTGTTCTTGAGGGCTCAGTGACCGAAATTCACTGCTCAGTTCCCGCACCACAGAGAGGCATAGTTTCCTCCCTTTCGCGCGCTCATGTAGGAACGCGCGCCACGCCCCGCCGCCCCCCCCCTGGGCGCCTGGTTGTTTACCCCCTGCACGGACTGCACGCCTTTGTCTGCGATTCGGCTGCTCTTCGGGTTGGTCTTCACTTGCTGGGCGGGTCGAACTCTCGCGCAACGCCACCTGCCGCAGAGTCCACTCGGCACTTACATGCGCCATGGAAGGGGCCCATGTTTGCACAACAGAAGTGATGATTCTGCGCGATGCTGCGTGGCGGCTTTCTATCGCCGCTATATCGAGGTCAATAGTCCAGGCCAGCGCCTGCAAGCTTGCCTCAGCTTCTTCATTGTAGGTCGGATATCGCTCACGAAAAGCTGTAGCTAGCTCGTCCCTGAGGCACGGCGGTTCCTCATCAAACTGTCCTGTGTTCAGCGCATTTGAAGAGAATGTATGGATGCCGCCGCCGCTTTGTTCTCAGGAGTTGGTGCATAGAACAGCATGACCGGGAGATCACTCTGAACATAAGTGTCTGCAAGTGAGCTGTAAGGTCATCTCGTCGAATCCCTGCGGGAAACCGAAGCAAGAGCAGTAGCTGACTTGAAAAGAAGGACTTCAGGTCATTCTGCGCAGCCGCTTCCAGCATTCGGAAACTTCTCCCCTGTTGTCTGGCCGTCGCCAATTCCTGCTGCTGCTCCCATCCCTCACTGCCCACCTGCAATAGCCGGACCACCAAGTTGATCATTCCCTGCAAACCCAGCTTCAGAACCGTGAGCCGTTTGGTTGGTTTGGACGCTGCCCAGCTAAATGCGTTCTTGCGATACGCACGATTGCGTGCAACCCAATCCTCCTTGCTCTCTTCCTTAGTTACGTCTAAATGATAGATCTGATAGGTGGCAGAAACAACCTTAGCGGTAGCGGTAGTCTAGAGGACAAGGAGATGGCGTGACTCGGACATACGCAAAGTCAAACGACCCGCCTAAACTAAACCTTAGCAGCACCCTCATTTGTTTTGATATTTTGTTATACCCAAACACAAATTACCCTGACACCGCCAGAAATCCTACGTCCTACGTCTTAGTACAACCATCAAATTTCGTAAACATGATCAAAAGCCCTAACTCTAAGCCCCCTAGCAATCCTTGAAGCCCGTTTCGCGAAAAACCTCGACCCTGCTACATGAAACTAAGGCTAAGGGGTATGATATAGAGACATAGAGTGACATTGACATACTGCCTATTAGTATTAGTGACTTAGACTTTGAGGGCTCTATGGCAGGAAAGCGACAGCCTCCTCGGCAGGGGCAGGGTCGACGTCCTGCTCTCCAACAAACTCTGGAATTGAGGCAGCGTCTGCAGGCGCAAGGAAAATATCCAAGTCATCTGCAGGTTGAGATGGAACAGTGGCGCCGGGACCGCCTCCCCATTTGTGAGCACGAGCTCTAGCAACCCGTGATGCGCACCCAGGAGGGCGCACCAATCCACGGCCTCTTCCTGTTGCAGCCAACGATTTCGTGCAAACTTTGGAGTTTTCGTTGGGATGAGTGCCCAGACTGTAAACTTGGCAAATTTGACCCACGTGTCCTGCTCACTGCTACAGCAACCGTAGCCGCAGCAATGCACAATGTCAGGGCTGGCAATGTCGCAGTTGAGCGTGTGGCTCAAGATGTACCTTCGCAGCGCATTGCGTTGATTGTGAGGTGAGTCCTGCTTCAAAGGGAGAAAGAGATCGTAGATTTCTTCTCGGTGGGCTGCAGCAGGACCCAATGGCGGTGCCTCGTAGCAGATCTGCAGGTTCTCTTGAAAAACATCAATCAACACTGCCTGTAGATTCTGGAGTGCTCCAGACGATTGTTGAGATAAGGCCAAGCTCAACATTCCAGAAATGTCCCCCGACATCAGGTTCGTAGCGCTGGAGTTGCTTTGAGCCACTATGTGCACCTCACACGCATGGACGTGTTTCGGCCGGGGTGTCTTCTCCTGTTCCAACTGTCGGTACTGCAGCACCCTCTCGGCCTTGAAGTTCGAAGGATGACGGTCAACTACCTTGGCTGCGGGAATGTTGATCAAGGGCTTGGGCTCAATACGCAGTTTCTACTACTTACTACTGATCATAGTAATGATCATAGTAGTAGTAGTAGTAGTCGTCGTCGTCGTCGTCGTCGTAGTAGTAGTAGTAATAATAATAATAATAGCAGTTGCTGTTGTTGTTGTTGTTGTTGCTGCTGCTGCTGCGGTTGTTGTTGTTGTTGTTGTTGTTGCTGCTGCTGCTGCTGCTGCTGCTGTACTACTTTACTATTAGTATTTTTGAAGTATTCTGACTAGTGACAATGAAACGATTCTTTCGGGCAATCTGTGTAGAATGTTCAGTGCACCGATCTTACTAGCTAATTGGGAACAATGGCTGTGGTAAACTTAGCTGGCGTGGGCGAGAAGCAGCAACACGGAAGCAATTGTCAAAGGCTGCGCTGAAGCGCTCCCAGTCAGGGATGACATCTTGCGCACGATCTATGGCCGCGAGTAGGCACTCTGTTGTCATTCGGTCAACTGTTTGCAGCATTGCAGGTATCTTGCCACTGAGAAGCATTCGCTTCCTTGATTGCACATCTTCCACCAAGGCGCAAATGCTCACCTCAAATTGAAGGATTTTGCCATGGTGCGCAACTTCTTGACCTTTCTGTACCACAGCGCCGTCTTCAGTTAGGCGGATTCGAAGCGGTGTTTCGTCATGGCGGAGTTTCTGTATCAAGAGGATACCCCTCCAAGCAGCATCAGGTCCGTGCATTTTTTCCCACATCGCCTGCAAAGCTCCAGACCAAAGTGCACCACCAGCCAGCACTGCTGCTGAGGTTCCAATGAGAGTAGCGCGCCCTACGTCAGCAATCTCTTGCTTGCCAGCTTTCTGAAGCGCAACCTTAACAGCGGCGTCGGACATCAAAGCAGATGACTTCATGCGCAGGACTTCCGCGCAGTCGGAGGTCTCTCTGGAGGAGTTGGCTTGCTTCTGCATTGAGTAGGCAGCGGCAGTTGTGAGAGCAATTTGCAGTGGTGAGCCCAAATCCTGCACGCAAGCCCACATCGAAGACCCTGAAGACAGGATCGTGTTGCAGGAGGATTCCACGCATGTTCCGGATGGAGAGTCCTCGCGCTTGCGCTTCTTGAATTGCCTGGCATATTCAATCGTACCAGGTACTGCAGCTGCGCCAGAACCCGACTCACCCTTGCCCTGCAAGGCCTTTTTCTTCAGTTGCTGTCGTAAGAAGTTGCTGCCAAAGGAACCAGGAGGTCGACCACGCATCTTCTTGTCTGATTCTGTTAATTGGGGCTCGCAAATGCCCAACTGCTGCTCTTGCTCGGGGACATCTTCGGAAAGGAAAAAATCCTCATTTGCCCCAGCAATCTCTGCAGTCTGTTCTGCTTCATCGGGGGCTGCCTCTGCGCAATCCACTTCAGCTTCGAAGCAGGCCCAATTCTCTTCCATGCGCTGCCGTGCACCCTCCGTAGCTGATGCGGCTGAGTCATTGCTCAGCTGACCAGACATGGCAAGAGTCAACTGCACCTACATTCTATATTGTACATCCCTTCCAGACCGAAACCCCTGCGTGCTCCCTTGATATGTCAGCAGAATTCCCCACAATAGTCAACAAAAACTGCTAATATCCAATTGCGTCAACACAGCCAATCCAAACCCCGGGTCTTGGGCATATGCCTAGGTCCTAGACTTTAGAATTCAACCCTAGACCTAGACTCTGTCCACCATGTTTTGGTGACTGAGGTATAAAGCTGCAGCGATGCGCCTTGCTCACAGAATGGGTAGGCTGGGACTTTGTAAGATTACTTTAGAGTAGACGCTTCGGTTCCAAGTCGGGCTGTTCAAGATGCTGCATTTAACCTCAGTCATCAATAACTTTTCAAATTTTGAATAACCGGTACATGCGCCAGGGACCAATTGCACTGGGTTATGGGGTTCTTGAAAAACCTTGATCTGACAGGGCAGTTGGGTTCAGGGCCTGAATCCTAGACGTGCGTCTTGCGTCCAACAAAGCACCTACCACGAACGCCCGGTGCCAAATCTTAACTACAAGTTTTAAGGTCTCTCAAGCCTCCCAAAATCAACCCTAAAGTCTAAGCCCGAATCCACGCCCCATAAGCATTGATCCTAGGCCCTGGCAAGCTCAACGACACGAGCAGCAGTTTGCGCCTGGGTCGTGAAATGGCTAGCCAGATTCGCATGTCGAGGTTCTTGGTCACAAGCCAATAGCCGCCTCCCTGGAAAGTCTGCTGTTGCAGCAGCTCCTTCAACCTTGGGTAGTTGTTGGTAGGGAGGCTTCATTAATCAAAGCTAGCAGATAGGATTGAGGCCTAGCTCAGGCGATCCAACCGTTGATCCAATTACTGGGGATGGATATAATCGTGCACCACATTACATGCTGTACGAGAAAACAACTCCATGCTTCGGGGGTCCCACGTCCTCATATATAGTATATGTCATATGTAGATATCCACACACACACTGTATCTTTATAATAAGTGGCGCAAGATTTCTTCATCCATTGTATCATAGATCATAAATTTGTTTGTCAGACAAATGACCTCTGCAGCGGTGTGTAAGAACCTCCCTTCGTGAACGGCATTGTAAATCCCATGACCTGTTCAAAGATCTGTACTGACGGCTGGAAGCGAGCTAGCCATCGAATGAACTGACCGAGCGCGATGTCGCATTCATGATGTGCCTCGACACTACCGGGCTCGAAACGTCCAGCTCGTTGAGTGCTGAAAGGGTGGCAGGGTGTGCCACATATGCCCACATCGACATGCACAGGAGAGGGGTCACAACCTGATGCAAAAGGATGCCTCAGGCAGGCTTTGCCTGCAATCTGTGCTTCCAAGTCTCGATGCCAATGGGTGGGCACTTTGGTTCGATTGTTGCTGCTAGACAGCATGCGACAGCATTTGTAGTTGGGATCCGAGGCGGACATCACATTGAAAGGAATGTTCATGGCCTGCGGCGCAATTGTGTTGGGGCAAGGATCCAGGATAATCACAGTCTACCTAGGCGTTGTAGGGCTGTAGTCATTACATGTAGTCTTAAAACATTCTCATAAGAATGAATTGCCAGATTGTCTCCTTTACGCACGAAGAGGTTTCTGCTACCACCGTCCAAGAACTGTTGTTATGATGGTCCTAGTGGGTCCTATACTGATAGCGTAAATTCCCGGGCGCTACACATGGACGGCCACGCAGTGTGAAGACTCAGCCAACTTCCAAACCCTTAACCCTAAACCCTGAACTACCTAAACCCTAACTAAACCGCGCCCCATCACTCTCGGAATGTGCCCCTGCCTTGAGAATCCACGACTCCGCGCTGAGGCCACTGCATCCGCTCACTACATTCCAGGGGCGCTCGGTTGATGGAGGTGGGATTTGAGAAGTAAGCTGGGCAATACGTAGGACCCACCATGGGGCGGAAGTACGTAATTCAGCCACGGGCGAGACATTCTCTATGATGCTAGGTGTTTCACTGTCACTTTCTTGCGTTTTCTCGTAGCAAGCATCTGCTTCTTCGGTAAGAGCTGAAAGGGACTGAGTAGGAATTGGGCCTTCTTCCGCTGCCTCAAAGCAGGCCCAGTTCTCTTCCATGAGCTGACGCTGAGCGTCCATTGCTGCTGAGTGAGCGCTCAGCTTCCCAGACATTCCGGCATCAAGTACTAAGTACTGAGTACTGACTACAGTGACAGCAACATTCAACACAATTTCCTATGTAGCTCATTTGTGCAAAAACGTCGCGTAGTTGTGACACCCACCTACGATGTATTGAGGAGAAGACATGCTTAGAATCTTGTTGAGCATCTACAGTCTATAGTGTTCAACTAAATTTGGGATCCAATGGCAAGGGCAGGCGCAAAATCAGCGCGTCAAGCGTTTTGATTGGATCATGCCCTGATCCCTAACTAGAAGAGACAGCGCAACGATGGCAATTCAATAATAGAAATAATAATACTAGCACTAGCAAGTTCAAGAGCAAGAGTATTTATTAGCCAGCCAGAGCAGCAGCAGCAGCAGCAGCAGCAGCAAGAACAGACGCTGCTGCGTCTTTGGCCGACAGCAAGGGACAAGGGTAGGCGAAAAAAATGCGCTACAACATCAGCGGAGCTGAATATCTCCGCAGCATCACCCAAAATTTACACGCGCCCATCGAATCCCTCACAAAAATCACCGAAAAATCACACGAAATGCATCACAACATCGGATTCAAAACACGGACTAATCACCGAACAATCACCGAATGCTTGCACAAGCGTTTGCCCAATCACCGAAAATATACGGAATAATCACTCAGCAGGCAAGGGGTAGACATTTGCAATCACAGAATAATCACTGAATAAATACCGAAATAAATGTCAACATACTCCCCAATGGTTTGCTGACTCGTGGATCTTAATTATAATCCTATTATAGGTACCTATAAGGGTTATCCCCTAGTAGAGGTCCTAAGTGCCACGTAGTTTCGGGTCTAGGGTTTAGGTGTAGGAAGCCGGGCATTTGATGGCTTTAAGATTGGTGGAATTCGGTGGTTTTCTTCAGTCCTGGGCCAGGTCTCCGGTTCATGTTCAAGATGGGGCCACTTGTCTGACATCTGGCTATCAGGGAATGGTGGAATTGAAAAAAACGAAACTACTATATTGGAGATTTTTCAGGGACTGCTATGATTTAGGATTTGGGATTTTTTGGGTTTTAGTGCTTAATGACTAGGTTTAGGGCTTAGGGCCTAGGAATGCTCACTAGCTCATGCCTCCATGACACTCAGACTTCCACTTAGAGGGGTCAGAGGATCTTAGTAATTATACTTACAACCCCTAAAAGCCAGAAAAGATTCCGGCTTGTCATGATTAACTTACTTACTACCTCACTTACTTACTTGCTTGTTTACTTGCTTGTTTACTTACTTACTTACTTACTTACTTATTACTTACTTACTTACTTACTTATTACTTACTTACTTACTTACTTACTTCGTCCCCCTGACCTTCCAAGCCAATAGCAATTTCAGACCTCAGACCCTCAACCCCAGCGCAATTTCCCTTGAGCACTCAACTCTAAACTTATCTGGCTTTGGCTATAAGTGGATCATGTGGAGAGTGGGATGAATTTGGGGTTCTTTCATTTAGGAAAAGAGAAGCTGACAGATAGGAAGCATACAGAATTGACGGCAAATACAAATTTCCCCCAGAGTAACTGTGTAAAGTCCCAAACCCTAAACTCAAATTCCTAAATTTCCTAAATCATGTATCTGTGGATACACCATTTTGAAACCTGCAGGAAGGGACCCTAATCAAGGATCCGAAACACCACATCCAGAAGCCCTGAAACCCTGAATCCGCAACCCTAGACCTTAAACCAACACTGCTTCCTTTAGCTGGGTTCCGAGATTTTCCAAAGCGCTGGCCTTTAAGGGCCCTACTCTCCTGGGAGCCTCGGAGGTAGTTAGTTACAGATGTTGTGTCATTTTGAAGATGGGTGCTTGTCAAAATTATGGTCCCTTTTTGGGTACCCTAAATATGAGGGGCCATATTATAATAGGGACCCAAAAAGGGACCATAATTTTGACAACCACCTAGATGTCGGAAAAGGGAGTCTGAGGAACC